TCGGGGAGGAGAACTCACTGGACGACCGGAGGTCGACTGCCGGGCCAAGCATCCTTAACAAAGGTTGTCCATCTACACAATTTTCCTTCTTTGTTCTTCTGACAGTGCTATTAGCTCGCTGAAGAAAAAATGGGAGCCGATTTCCCGCTCTTAACGTAATTTATATGGACCGGGTAGGGCCCACACAGCAGGTGGGTGTGGACTAGATTTTTCAGTGCAACGCTCCGCATAACGGGATAAACCCACCAAGCGACAGCCTTAAAGGGCGAAGCTTATACGAAATAGAACTGTGTTGCATGGTGGAGCAGGTGGTTGGTTACAGCAGCAAGATGGACAAAACTTGGATGAGGCCTTTTTGAGTGCAGTTTGCATGTTCTCCATGTTCATGGGATTTATCCAGGTGCTTCGGTTTCTTCACTCAACACAGTCAAAATAATGCAAATTAGGTTAACTGGCAATGCTTAACTGGCTCTAGGTGTGAGTGTGCATCATTGTCTATGTGGCTCTGTGACAAGCTGTGACGGCGTCATCAAGATGGCGCCGGTGTGTAGGGCTGCCCGTCTCTCACTCTCTGCTTGTATTTTATTTTTGTTATTTTTACAATGGTTTGTGCAGTGTGCCGAGTCATATTTTCAGTATGATCGTCGGGCACTTTTGGAGCTCCGTACTTTTGCTGAAATTCCCGCGGAGTTTTTGAACAGCGGCCAGCACTCTCCCCCACCGGTCCTATCTGAGATTCCTGCGTTCCTTCTGCGTGACCCTGGCCTTTCTCCATGGAGGAAACGTCGCAGACGTCGTGGGAAGCGTGCAGGGATTTTGGTGAAACTGAGGCAAAGTGTGGATTATTCTAACAGGACTCGCTCTGGATCTGATCATCTCCTCTCTGACCCGTGGTGCTCCCGGGGCCCGGCTGCTGGCCAACTGCCCGCGCGCTCAGTCCATGGAAACACCTGGAGTTGTTTACCTGTGCGCCGCACCAACAGACCAGGAGGAGCTGTTCTTCATAACCTGCGCCCGCTGGCGCGCGCGTCTCCCTCCACGGCTGTGCATGTGTCGGACAATATCAAGATGTGTTTAATCAATGCAAGGTCTGTTTCCAACAAGACGTTTATTCTCAATGACTTTTTTAAAGATGAGGAGTTGGATTTTCTGTTCGTCACGGAATCTTGGATTTCTGATGGTGAGTCCAGCGCCTTGGTGGAACTACTTCCTCCGGACTGTGTATGTTTCAATGCCCCGCGGCCATCAGGTCGGCGCGGGGGGGGATTATTAACAGTTTTTAAAGCAAACTTTGCCTGTAAACAGTTGTCCATCCCGGTGTCCCGCGCCAGCTTCGAGCTGAGCGCCTTTGAACTTGGACACTCTCCTCCGGTCCTGTGTGCGCTCATCTACCGCCCACCTCGTTCTAAGGACTTCATAAATGAATTCTCTGACTTTTTGGCTGATATCACACAGAGATACACTCACTTTTTGCTTATTGGTGACTTTAATTTGCATGTGTGTTGTCAGGAGAAGCCCTTAGTGAAGGACTTTCTGGATTTATTGGACTCTTTTAATTTAGCTCAACAGGTGAGCGGCCCCACCCAAGAACATGGTCACACGCTGGACCTCATTTTAACACGCGATGTCTCTGTTTCTAATTTGAAAATCGGTGACAATGATTTTTCAGATCACATGCCTGTATTGTTTGACTTCACCCCCCCTTGTCCTAATGCTAAGACGCGCGTTCCTGCACGTACGCGTTCCATTAACCGTTTCACTGCTGCTCGTTTTAATGAAGGTTTTAATTCTGAGAGGATCGAACAGCTCCCGGTGTCTCTTACCACTGAGGAGCTAACCTCTCAGTTCAACTCTGCCTGTTTAAATGTTCTGGACCATGTTGCTCCCCTTAAGACCAGAAAAACAAAACTTAAATCAGAGCCTTGGCTGAATGACGTCACGCGAGCCGTTAGGCAGCAGTGTCGCAGAGCTGAACGAAAGTGGAGGAAGGACAGGCTCCAGGTGTCTTTTCAAATGTTAAGGGAGAGTTGGCGACACTATCAGAAAACCGTTAAAGTTGCCAAATGTAAATTCTTTTCTGATTTAATTGTCTCCAACTCCCACAACCCCCGAGTTCTTTTCTCCACCCTGAACTCAGTTCTACACCTCCGTGAGCCTTCACCTCTGGAAGCCTCAACTGAGCTGTGTGAGAACTTCCTCCATTTCTTTTTAGAAAAAGTGGCAAACACCCGGGCACTCATTTCTCCACCAGCTCATGATCTGTCCATCCCTTCTCAGTGTGTGGCTGTGTTTGACCACTTTGAGCCCATCTCTCTGTCCTCTCTGGAGCAGGTAATGTGCAGCATGAAGCCATCTGGTTCCCCCTTTGATATGGTCCACCCTCGACTGCTAAAGAGACCATTGTTTCATCAGTCTCCCTCTCTCAGGGATGTCATCATGGAGACTGATGAAACAATGGTCTCTTTTGATGTCACATCACTCTTTACCTGCATTCCTGTTGATGATGCAGTAGAGGTGGTCAGTTTAAGATTAAAATCAGACACCACTCTGAGCAGCAGGACCACGCTTTCCACAGAACAACTATGTCAACTCTTGAAACTGTGCCTGCAGTCCACCTACTTCACATATGGGGAGCAATATTATAGGCAGAAACATGGGTGTGCTATGGGGTCTCCAGTTTCTCCTATTGTTGCCAACCTGTACATGGAAGAGGTAGAAAAGAGAGCCTTGACGTCCTTTTCAGGGACACCACCAAGTCATTGGTTCAGGTATGTTGACGACACCTGGGTTAAAATTAAATCTCAGGAAGTCCAACATTTTACTGACCACATCAACTCTGTGGATAAACACATCAAGTTCACACGAGAAGATGTAAAAAATGGCAAGTTGGCTTTCTTGGACTGTGAGGTCTCAGTCTCGGATAGAGGACATTTGCAAACCGAGGTGTACCGCAAACCCACCCACACAGACCAGTATTTGCAGTTTGACTCCCATCACCCTTTGGAGCACAAGTTAGGAGTCATCAGGACTCTGTATCACAGAGCAGACAGCATCCCCACTAGCTCAGGAGCCAGGCAGAAGGAGAAATCCTACACAAAACAGGCTCTAGAGCAATGTGGATATCCTAACTGGGCCTTCCTGAAAGCAGAGAAGAAACCCAAACAGGACTCCAGTCAGCCATCAGGTGAAAAGGAGGAACCCAGACCCAGACCAGTGGTCATTCCGTATGTTGAGGGGGTATCAGAGAAACTGAGACGTTTATTTTCTAAACATAACGTCCCAGTGGCTTTTAAACCCCAAAATACATTACGGCGAAGACTGGTTCATCCCAAAGATCCAGTCCCCCGGCACAAACAGAGTAATGTTGTGTATGCTGTTCAGTGTCAGGAGGGCTGTGATCAGTCTTACATCGGGGAAACTAAACAGCCACTGGCCAAAAGGATGGCCCAGCACAGAAGATCAACATCATCAGGCCAGGATTCTGCGGTCTACACTCATCTCCAGGCCAGAGGTCACTCTTTCAAGGATGAAGATGTGCACATCCTGGACAGAGAGGAACGATGGCTTGAGAGAGGAGTAAAGGAGGCCATCTTTGTGAAAAGAAATCGTCCATCATTAAACAGGGGTGGAGGCCTCCGGGTTCAACTGTCCCCCTCTTACAATGCTGTGATTGCTAGTATCACTCAGCCCTCTGGGAGTAGTAAACAGCCATCAGTGTGCTAATGACCCATTGTTAGGCTGATGGTCCTTCTTGAGCATGTGATCAGCTGGTTTTGGTTGTCAGCAGCAAACTGGTTGATCCACTCTAAGAAGGTGCTATTTAAGAGACTGAGCTGAAAACAGCACCTCAGACTGAGGAAGTCTCTTGGATGAGAGACGAAACGTTTCTAGATTTCTTTTGCTTTGTTTTGCGTTTGTTTTTTTTGAATGTCCAGAGGACCAGATTGAACTTTTTTGGAATGTAATATCAGTGTTTCCCCTAGTTAGCTTGCCATGGCGGGGTGCTCATCTCTTCCACGATTTTTGCTGATGGCTGATGGGGTGGGGGGGAGACATGTCTGAGCGCAGCTTGTACTAAAAGTTTCTGAGCGGGGGCGGGGGGCGTTCAACATGAGGGACGAGGCAATGTGAGTGCTGCTTTGGGCTTTTTAGCTAGAGAGCCTGTATTTTGTGCCGCTACCTTAGTGATATGTCAGTGCCGGGTGGGGGTGGGAGGGGCAAGGTCAGTTTGATAGGCGGGGTGCTCAGTTTTGTTGGTGGGGTGGGGCACCCCGCCTGGACAATGGTAGGGGAAACACTGACTATAATAATAATAATAATAATGTCATCACAATGTCAGCACTGTATGTTTCCATACAATGGCAAAATTAGTTTCTGCATTTAACCCATCCACCACAGGGTGGTGCAGTGGGCAGCTATTGAAGGTGCCCGGGGTGCATTTTGGGGATGAGGTGTGCTGCCCAGAGATACCACGTGATATGCAGTGACTGGGGATCGAACCTGGGACTTTCGGGTCCCAAGCCGGCTGCCCTGCCTCTACACCATCTCGGCCCCCATAGTTTTATGTATTATCCTTCAAAATCCACTTGAAATAAATTGGATCAAAAACAATAACAAGACACAAAAAGATAGAAAACAAAATTATTAAAATCTCTTTTTATACTTAAGGTTTGAATGAGGTCATTGTAGACAGTGAATCATCATATTAGTTAGTTAAAAGAAATGTCATTCATAAGTTGCATCGTCGTACATTGCGTTTCTAAATGTGGAGATAACACTTTCTCTATTTTATTTTTTTATCATTTGAAGGTTTGGTAAATTTGTAAATGAGTGCATTTTGTTTTGTTTACATTTATTAACAGCTTCGCAACTTTTCAGGAAACGGAAGTGATAGTGGTGAAGCATGAAGTTTTGAACATTTGTAGTATTATCATTTCAAATGTTCCTGCAGAGGGAGGAAAGTTGAAAAAAGACCATTTCAGAGCTCCCTCCTCATTTACCTGCACGTCTAGAATTTGTTGTGTCACCTCCACTGCAGCCTCCTGAACTTCAACCATATTTTCAACCATCTGAACAAATGCAAATGAACCAGAACATGTAAACAGAGCTGAAAAGTCCATTTTATCCCCTAAAAATAACAAAACTGCATGTCTGAGAACTTAGCTCTGTTTACCTGCACTTCTACAACAGGCTGAGGGACCTCTACTGATGTTTCCTGCAGAATAAAGCTGGTTTTATATTCTCAGTAGATGCAGATGAAAATGTAAAATACTGATTGTCTATCTTTCCACACCCTCATGCATGCATGCATTACACCATTAAATATAT